CAAGGAATAGTGACTACATTCTTTGAACACACACACTGGCCAGAGACCCTGCCAGCTAGAGGTTGAGCCTTCATGGTCTTGGGACAGAGAACTGGGGGCTTTGTGAGTAAATCCTTAGTTAGCAAAGACAGACAGATCACTGACTATCAGAGTTGTGCTCACTTTTTTCCTGTCACCAGACTGGGGCCTGTTCAGTGATCAGCATAGCTGCTGAGTGAGCATTCCACCACATGTACTTCCTGGGCCCCGTCAGACTCAACAGGGCATTGTCTCCTATCTTGTAGTTGGCCTGTGACTAGCCAGTGTTTTGCCTCTGTTCTGTTCACTCTTCCCTTGGATTCCTATGTGAGGTTTACAGTTTTCTTGACCGCCTCCTTGGAAAAGCAGACTTGGTTCCCATTCCCTGGGACTGATAGAGCAGTGACACTAGTTCAGTAGTCATGCCTGGGTCCTAGTACTAGCTTCATCTATAATGAGTCATGTGACCACGCCAAAATAATTCAAATGCCCAGCTGTATCTTTATCAGTCAGGTGGTGGTAATCAATGCAAACACTTCAAGAAATCTCAGTGAAGATGAGGTAAGGATGCTCTTTTCAATCTTCATCACTTCTCTTCCCCACCCTGATCCTCATGCTTTCGTTTCAGGGTTTCTCCGTGGAGGGGCAGGAGAACCTGCAAGAGATCCTCAGCAAACAGCTGCTGCTCTGTCAGTTCCTCATGGCGCTGTCTGTTGTCCGGACAGGTGACACTTCCTCAGCTGTCTCCCTACCCCAGGTCCCACTAGAGAACCTGTTGGACAAGAGCATGTATAAGAGTTGGCTTGGAAGTTAAAAAAAAAAAATCTGCTTATATCAGGTGATAGGTGGCTGAATGAGGAATTTAGGGAAGAAAGTGCCATAGACTCCCCAAAGTTCCTCTAAAGCTAAGTCTCCCCCATAAATTGTCTCTGACTTTTAATGGACCCAGGTCCCTGACTTGGTCATATTTACTCCCTGAGACTACTTTACCCACCTATTGGACTAAAACCACTGACTGCTATTGGTGTTTTCTCTCTAATCCAGGAGGCCACTTCATCTGTAAAACCTTTGACCTGTTCACACCGTTCAGCGTGGGGCTCATCTACCTGTTATACTGCTGCTTTGAACGAGTATGTCTCTTTAAGCCGATTACCAGCCGACCTGCCAACTCAGAGAGGTGAGGTTTTCCTCTCTATTTTAATCAAACTGGTTGGCTAAATGTCAGAGCACAAATCTTGGTGCATCTTTCTGGCGTGACCACTCAAGCAACATTAAAAACCTTGACTTTAAAGAAGTGATTAGAGCCAAGAGGAGTCAGGATTCGAATCTTACTGGTTCTGTGATATGCCAGTTCAGCCTCTGTCTCCCTCTCTACAAGCCTTATTCACCACCCTTATGTAGGGGAATCCTTGGCTTGGCCCAGGAGGGAGAATGTGACCAATAGAAGGAACATGAGTTGGGAGAGGCAAGCAGGTCACCAGCCAGAGGCACTGTTGAGATCCCAGGTGGGATATAGTGCCCATGCACCATGTGAGAGAAGATGCGGCCAATCTGAATTGCTAAGTGGCTTGTTAAAAACAAATTTCTGGGCCCCATCCCTGGAGAGTCTGACTGATGAGATTTGTAATTTAACAGACTCTCCAGGTGATGGTGATACAGCTAGCCTGGCACAGGGCAGTTGGGAACCACTGCCATAGGGAGTAGAAATACAGCCCAACATAAAAAGGAAAGATTTGAGGTAAACTTTTGCAGCACAGTCTGTGCTGTTCTTTGTGCATAGACTTAAGGCTGTTGAGCTTCATGACTCAGCAAGGGGTTTGGAGAGGAAGAATGTTGGCAGGGAAGCTCTTGCTCACAGGGTTTCTCCTGCCAGGTATGTGGTGTGCAAGGGCCTGAAGGTGGGCATAGATGACGTGCGAGATTACCTCTTCTCCGTCAATATTAAACTCAACCAGCTACGGAACATGGATTCTGATGTCAACCTTGTGGTCCCCTTGGATGTGATCAAGGGAGACCATGAATTTACCGACTACATGATACGGTCCAATGAGAGGTAAGTAAACCAGGTGTTTTTTTGCTGGCACCACTAGGATATCAAGGAAGACCAGAGAATGAAGGACTGAAAGACTGGCTCTTGGTATCACTTTGTCAACCCTGAAAAATTGGTAACTGGGATTGGTCTGCTTATTCCAGGGCTCCCTGGGACATAGAGTACCTAGAGGACCCTCATCCTGCTCCCATGCCCTGTCACAAGGGTGGCCAGTGGGAGCCTGGCTGGCTTAGCCCTGCCCATGGGAGTCTGGATATGGTATTGAAACCTAACAGAGAGCAACCTTGTCTTCTGTCCCTGGCGGCAAGCAGGAGTAATTTCTCTTTAATTGCTTCTGTTTGTAAAAGGCAATAATGGTTGTTGCCTTGTGAAGCTGCTGTTTGGGAGCAGGAGATGGCTGGAAAGCAAGTATATGACATGAAAAGCTTCTGGTATGAAAGCTTTTGCCAGCTTATAAGTTCCCCAGATGGGTGATCCAAATGCTATTTTTTTCAGCCTTCTTTAATTGTTTTTCCTCCTCCCTGTTAGTGGTAATAATTTAAAGTCCTAACAGTTGGCTCAGTTTTCTAAGTGGGCAAGCCTTAGAGAAAAGTTTTTTGAGGTAGGTTGGAGAGCTGTATAGTAGCAGCGAATCAGTACAAGTGCTTTCTTATGGTGCCAGATAGGTGTTGAAAAAATCATTTTGTCCATTCATCTGTCAGTGGACATTTAAGTCGTTTCTACATCTTGGCTGTAGTGAATAGTGCTACAGTGAACATGGGGATGCTGGTTTTTTTTTTTCAAGATCCCGATTTCAGTTCTTTTGGACAAATACCCAAAAGTGGAATTGCTGGATCATAATGGTAGTTCTGTTTTTCCCTTGCCTCATTGCACTGACTAGTTCCTCCGGTATGATGTTGAATTGAAGTGATGAGAGCAGACATCCTTGCCTTGTTCTTGATTTTAAATGTAAAATGTTTAATCATTATGTATGATGTTAGCTATTGGTTTTTTGTAGATGTCATTTATCAGGTTGACGAAGTTTTTTTCTATTCCTAGTTTGCTGAGAGTTTTTATCATGAATGGAAATTTAATTTTGTCAAATATTTTTTCTCTATAAATTATTATTTTTTAATAAAGAAATTATTATTTTTCTTTATTCCATTTATAGTGAATTACATTTGGTGATTTTCAATGATAAACAAATCTTGCATTTTTTGGATAAACTCCAGTTAGTCATAAGTTATCACTTTTATATATTGCTAAATTTGATTTACTAATATTTTATTAATGATTTTTGTGTCTGTGTTCATAAGGAATAGTAGTCTTTAAATCTGTATTCTTTTAAAGTCCTCGTCTAGTTTAAATATTTATTTGTAAATACTATAAATTTTCCTTTAAAATTAATATTCTTATTAAGATATAAATATATTGAAAGAAAAAAGGGTCTAAAATCAAAGAAGCTAGAAAAAGAAGAGCAAATGAAGCCCAAAGTAAGGAGAATAAAGGAAATAATTTCCTTTTATTTATTTAACTATAAATGTTATAATAATTTCCTTATTTTAATTAAACGTGTGTGTGTGTGTGTGTTTAAATGCTATAAGTTTTCCTTTGAGGACGGCCGTAGCTGAATCTCCCACATTTTTCTTCTTTTTTTTCCTGTTTTATTGAAGTATAATAGACAGTTGTTCATACATACATTGTATAATTCAATGGACTTTTTTTTTTTTTCATTTATAGTTGGCATACAGTAATATTCATTTCAGTTGTACAGCATAGTGGTTAGAGATCTATATAATTCATGAAGTGGTCACCCCACTAAATAAGGTACTCCTCTTTCCCCTTACATATTTTTTACAACATTGTTGACTATTTTCCTTATGCTACACTTTATGTCTCCATGACTATTTTGTATCTTTCCATTTGTACTTCTTCATCCTTTTGCCCTTTTTCATCGTCCCCCATCTTATCCCATCTAGTAGCCCTCAAAATATTCTCTCTATCTCTGAGTTTGTTTCCGTTTTTGTTGTTGTTGTTTATTTTGTTCTTTAGATTCCATATGTATGTGAAATCATGTGGTATTTGTCTTTCTCTGACTTATTCAGCGCAATACCCTCTAGGTCCATCAAGGCAATATCTTTTTCTATCCTCTTCCTTTTAGTCTGTGTGTGTCTTTTAATCTGAAGTGAGACTCTTGTAGGCAGCATATGTCGGAGTTTTCTTATCCATTCAGCTTCCCTATCTTTTGATTGGAGCACTTAATTCTTTTCCATTTGATATACTTGTTAATAAATACGTAGTTATTTCCATTCTTTATTCATGATTTCAATACATGTTTTTTCTTTTTAAAGAAGTCCCTCCAACATTTCCTGTAATAGTGGCTTGGTAGTGATGAATTCCTTTAGCTTATTTTTGTCTGGAAAGCTCTTTATCTGTCCTTCCACTCTAACTAATAGCTTCGCTGGATAAATTATTCTTGGTTGTAAATCCTGGGTTTTTTGGTTGTCGGTCTTTGCTTCTCATCACTTTGAATACTTCATGTCAGTCCCTTCTGTCCTGCAAAGTTTCCGTTGACAAATCAGCTGACAGTCAGCTCCCTTGTAAGACAAACTGCTTTTCTCTTGCTACTTTAAAGATTTTCTCTTTGTCTTTAACTTTCGGCATTTTAATTATGATGTGTCCTGGTGTGGGCCTCTTTAGGTTCATTTTCTGGGGGATTCTCTGAGCTTCCTGGGGTTGTATGTCTATTTTCTTCACCAAGTTGAGAAGTTTTCCATCATTTTTTTCTTCAAATATATTTTCAACTTCTTGTTCTCCCTCTCCTTCTTCAGATACTCCTCTTACACAGATGTTTTTACACTTAATTTTGTCCCATAGGTTCCTTAAATTATTATTATTTTCTTGGTTACTTTTTTCTTGCTGTTCTGGTTGGGTGTCCTTGGCTTCCCAATCCTCCATATCAGTGTTTTAATCCTTTTCTTCCTGCACTGTGTTGATTCCCTCTAATACATTCTTCATCTCAGATAATGCATTCTTCATTTCTAACTGGTTGGTTCCCTTTTATACTCTCCATTTCCATTTTTATGTTTTTTACCTCTTTAAGTTCTCACTCAGTTCATCTACACTTCCCTTAATTTCATTGAGCATCTTTATAACTAGTGTTTTGAACTCTGCATCTGTTAGATTGCTTGACTCCATTATTCCTCGATCTCGGTTCTCTTCTCTCATATGGTTTCTGCTTCTTTGTCTTCCCATTTTGGCTGTCTTTACATGTCTGTTTCTATATACTAAGCAAAGCTCCTAAGTCTCCCAGTCTTAGTGTGACTTTGTGTAGTAAGTGTCCAGTGGCACAGTCCTGAGAAGAGTTCAACTACAGGCCAAATTTAGCCCAAGCCTGTGCCCCTCTGGGGCCACCTGTTAAGATTCAGCAAGCAATCCACAGATGCTGTGCTTACAGTTACCTCAAGAAGCCATGCCAGAAACCAAGGTCAGCTGCCACCACTGTGAATCTTGGTGCTGCTCTGCAAATGGCACAGGACTCCCTGAAGACAAAACTGAGGGTAGCTTGGGTGCAGCCGCGAGTTGGGGGAGATAGAGTTTCAGGGAATCTTCTGAGCAGAGCGACCTCTGTTATCCAGTTTGATGATATCTCACCTATGGGGCGCTGTGTCCACGCACTGGAAGCGGGGAGGGCTCAACAGAGGAATAATGGATACCGCTAGTACCTCTACCCGTAGAAAGCCTCACCTCCAGCCCTTGCTCCGACAACTCAGTGTTCCCCTGTAAGTCCCTGGTGCCCCCCAAGTAGCTGACCCAGCGCTGGTACTCAGAGTGAGCAGGTCTGTCACTGTGAAAGTCAGCTCAAGCACACAGCCCCTTTAAGAGGTGTCTGCAGCTACTGTCCCCTCTGTCCCACTCAGCTGCTTGGGCAGCCTCACGTCTTTGCCCGCTCCTACTTTCTACCGTTGCAGGGTGATTTCTTATTTCTCTCACTAGTTGTAGACCCCCAGGTGACTCTGCTTGTTGTTTGCTCTGTTTCCATCTCAACTTTAATGTGGTTACAAGAGGGGACGAATGAAGTTTCTATCATCTACGCCATTTTGCCAGGTTCCTTCTCCCACATTTTGATGTTATCTTTTTTTCATTATTATACAGTTCAAAATATTTTTTAAATTTCCCTTATGATATGTTCTTTGATTCATGTATTATGGAGATATGTGATATTTAATCAGATATTTTGGAATTTCCAAGATAGCTATTAGATTTCATCCTGTTATACTCAAAATATACTGTTTGATTTCATCCTTTTTTTTTTTTTTGTGGCTCATCTTTATTTTGGTGAGTATTCCAACAGCTATTATTGAGTTTAGTGTTCTATAAATATTAATTTTGTCAAGTTGGTTTATAAGATTTTTCAAATCTTCTATATCTTAACTGATATGTTGAATATTTATTCTGTCAGTTGCTAAAGAGGGTTATTAAAGTCTTCAGTTATGATTTTTCAATTATGATTTGTCTATTTCTTTAGTTTTGTTAGTTTTTACTTCATATATTTGGGATCTTTGTAATCACTAGGCAAATGTACATTTAAGATTTTGTCTTCTTAATGAATCGCCCTCTTGTCATTGTGAAATATCTTTTTTTATCTCTGATATACTCTTGAAGTCTGCTTTGTCTGATACTAATATAGCCACATCAGCTTTCTTTCGCTTAGTATGTACATGGTTTTATCCTATTTTGTCTTTTTGATTTTTAACCTGTCTTTGTGTTCGTAAATAACACATGGTTTGTTCTTACCTTTTTATCCACTGTGATAGTCTCTGCCTTGTAAGTGGGGTATTTAGTACATTTACATGGACTGTAATTGTTGATATGTTTGAGTTTAAATCCTTTGTCTTGGTTGTTTGATTTCTATTTATCCTGTCTTCTGTTTGTTTCTCTCTTCCTTCCTTTTTGGTGGAGGGCAAATTCAGTATTTTTAGTAGTATTTCTTTTTATCTCCTCATATTTTTTTCTTTTTATGCCTTTTGTGTTATGTTTTAGTTATTCTAGAGATTACAACATCTTTAATTTATCATAGTTTACTTTCAAAAAGTATTCTTCTTCATGAACAGTGTAAGAACCTTACAGTAAATGTGCATTTACAGTTCTCCTTTGTGCTCTTGTTTTATAGAAAACCTTATTTTACATTGCTGTTCTTATTACAAACTGTCTATAGTCTTTAAAAGAGATTTAAAGATACACACACCTTTGTATATACATCTACTTTTTTTTATATATTTTGTATATACATCTACTAAAGATTCCTTGACATTTACTGACACTTACCCATTCTGGCATTCTTCATTCCTTTCCGCAGAACTAGATTTCTATTTGGAATCATTTCCCTTCACCCTAAAGAATTTCTTTTAGTTTATTTAGTCTCTGCTGGAGACTGATTCTTTCAGCTTTTGTCTCTTGAAAGTGTATTTACTTCCCTTTCACTTTTAAAGGGTATTTTCATTGGATATAGACTTCGAGGTTGGCAGTGTTTTTCTTTCAGCACTTTAAAGATATTGTTCTGAGTTCCTTGTTTTCTGATGAGACGTTAGCCATTATTTTTACCCTTACCATTATTTTTAGCTATTGTTTCCCTGTATGTCATGTGTCCTTTCTCCTCTGATTGCATTCATGATTTTCTCTTTTATTTTTTGTTTTCAGCTTGTTGACCATGGTGTGTTTATATCTGGTTTTCTTTGTATGGATTCTGCTTGGGGTTCTCTGACCTTGGATCTGTGGATTGATTTCATTTATCAGTTTGAGGAAATTCTCAGTGCTATTATCTTGTCAATATCTTTGTCCTATTCTTTCCTATGCTTCTGAGATTCCAATTATATTTATGTTAAACTGCTTGTTATTGTACCAAAGAGCTTACATGCTCGGTTATGGTTTTCACTTTTTTCTCTTTATGTTGCAGTTGTGTTTCTGTTGACCTGTTTGTTATCAGGTTTACTGATTCTTCTACTATGTTCAGTCTGCTGATAAGCCCATCAAAATCATCCTTCATCTCTAATATCATATTTTTTATTTCTATAATTTTTATTTGCTTTTAAAATATAGTTTTTATATCTCCGCTGATATTGTCCATCTTTATATGCATGTCATACAACTTTTCCACTTGATCCTTTAACATGTTTTTCAGTTATTTTAAAGGCCCTGTCTGATAATTCCAACATTCGGACCATCTCTGAGTCTTGTTCTATTGGATTATTTTCCCTTTTGTCAGTGGGTCACATTTTCTTGCTTAATCCCATGTCTCCTACTTTTTTATTAAATGCCAGCCATCGTATGTAAAAGAAAGTGGAGACTAGCCTGGCAAGATCTGTTAGTGTAGGTGGGTCAAGTCATTTTAGTCTGTAGTTGAACTGTCTGGGCTTTGGCGCTGCTTTCTTTAGAATCAGTTCACTACTGCTTTCATTTTTAAAGATGGGATAAAAACCTTCCTTGTAGCAGGACTTGGCATCTAAATGTCTGGAGGGTTTGACTCATTTTTTTTTGCTTTACCCTCAGCCTTCAGCAGGCCCATGTAACTGTACTTTGGGGTGTAGTTGTGGGGGTTTTCTTTCAATTCCCAGTCCCTTCTCCAAATATAAAGGGTCACTGCTCCAGTGAAGTCATCATTGCTCTTCTTTGTCCTGATGTCTTTTGGCTGTCTTTTTTGGTAATCCTTCTGAGATCAAATCTTTTTTTTTTTTTCCTTTCAGCCACTGTAGTCTGCAGATCAAAGCTCTGGCCAAAATCCATGCCTTTGTTCAAGACACGTGAGTGTTGCCTACTTTCCAGAATTCACCTATTTCAGGAGAAGATCTTTTTGTTTTACTTCTCCCTCTGAGCTCTTTTATTTCATTTCAACAAACATTTTTAAAACATTTTTATCTCATACTCTGCTGTGGTCTATGAAGGATGCCAGAGAAGATTATGGCATGAACCTTGCCCTCAAAGATTTTATGTTGTCTTTGTGAAGATAAGACTAACCCAGGAAAAGGATACAGGAAGAGTCATTAACAGTACATCAGAGGGTATAGAATACATAATGTTTAGGGGATACTGTGTAAAGAATGATCAAGAGAGGAAAGGTAGAACTGGTTAGGGAAAATCTCTGGTAGGGGCCAGCATAAGCTAATTTGGCTTTTTGGGGCATAGTGATGTCCATTGGGATGGACTTAATGTGGCCTGTATTAGCAGAGGAGGAGCCAGAACATACTGATGGGTAATTTGAAGAAGGATGTGTGAAGAACCCTGTCAGATGGTTAGGAGGGTAGTCTCCTCCCTTTCCTGTGTGGTAGGAAGGGGAGGTCATCCCATTTTCAAGAGGCAGATCCATGTGAGTGTGATAAGCACTCTGTGCTGATGGCATCACGGCTTCCACGTGTGCACACACGTTTTTTCATGCGGGCTTCCTCTCTGGGGTTCTAAGGGGGCTTATAGGACTCACAGTCCTTGTACCTCATGGAGGTTTAATCACTTGCTGGCTTTATTTTCCCAGGACCCTGAGTGAGCCTCGGCAGGCAGAGATCCGGAAAGAGCCTCCGTCTTTGGGGGGTAAGCGTCTCCCTAGCTCAGTGTTGCTACAGGGCAGGGAAGCTATAGAGAAGAATGGGACTGACCTTTAGGTCTCCAGCTACATGAAAATGTCTGCCTCCCCTCACAGCATTCCTGGACATTTCAGCATTGTTGGGTGTTACCTCCTTGGCCCTTTCACTGCCAGTTTGGCCCTGCAGCTGGGTCATAAAGGACAAGGGTGGTAGGTGCTGCTGGTAGCCCTGTGTAGCAACAAAGGGAAGTGGCATTTGGGGTGTGCTACCACAGGGCCTGAAAGGGAGCAGTGACTGAATTATCCACCTCCATCCCCCTTTCTAGACTCCTGTGTTACATGCCATTCCATCTTCCCCAGTCTGAACCTCTCCCTTCATCTATGTAGACTCACACTTAGTCTTGGTCAAAAGTCCATTTGAAAATCAAAGCTCTTTGCTGTCTCTTCAGATCCCAGATCAGGCTCGAGTTGCTCCTTCTTCCTCAGACCCAAAATCTAAGTTCTTTGAGCTAATCCAGGTAAGTTTCATATCTGATGAAAATAAAAAGTTAGAGAGGCCTACCTCTACATACAGAAGGTATCACTGAGACCCCAGATGCCTGTCTTCCAGAAGACTTGTACAGGTACCACCTGGGCTCTGAGGGGCTGGGCCGAGGCCACCACAGGTGGGAACCTTTGGTGTAGGGATGTTGAGTTCCCCGAGAGCCCATTAGGCTGCCTGAAGATTCTCGTCCTGAGATGTGC